TGATTGAGTGGAATGTTAAAGATTGCTCTGTCTGCTTGATGTTTCCTGAGCTTCCAGGCTAATAGTTTAGAAACTTTGCACCGCTCTCATACTATCTTTGTTTTGTGTAAAGCATCTTTTTCATTGTTTCTTGGGTAGTCAAATCATGAATCTCATTTCTTATCTTTTTGATCTCTTGTAACGTTTGTAGGTTTTTATTCTGAATGTGTCTATTTTCGAGTTGTTTTCTTGCAGCTCTTGCATTTTCTTTTGTCTTTGTCTCTTTTTAACTGATGCTATGGCTATAACTTCCCCTGAACTACAGCCTTGCCTGCATCCCAAAGGGTGGGTGGTGAGATTTCATCATCATCATTCTCTTGAATGTATCTCGATATTTCTTCTGATATTTTCTTTTTTTACTTGTGTATCATTACGAAGGTTGACGTTTCGTCTCCATACTGTATTTCTTTGTTTTTCACCCATTGCCATTGTCAGGTATCTAGGAGCATGGTCACTTCTATCTACTGTTCCTATTTCAGCTTCGATGGTTTTAGGTCTGTCCTTATTAAAAATAAAAAAATAATCTAGCCTTGTATATACCAAATGAGGATTAGAGAAGTGTGTGTTGCCTGTTCTTTGGATGCATTTCCCTCCAAATGTCTATTAATCCTATATTTTGTTGCTAGTTTTTTGACTAGAGATATCTGGGGTGGCTGAAGAAGAAGAATGAAATCTCCCCCTCTGTGTTGTTTACGATCAAATCCATTATATTAGTATAAAATGAAACATCACTTCCCGGTGGGTCATAAACATTGAGGAGTGTGTCTCCGTTAATATTTCCTTTGATTAGTAAATATCGGCCCGCTTCATCTTTGAGTTCAAAATTTTGTTCAAAAATCACTTTACTCCTCTTTTACGTTTTCCTTTGTAGGACGAGTAATATGATTTAGTGTATCCATATTTGGTTAGTTTTTGATGTTCTCTATCATTTATGTGTTTCTCACAAGTAAATAATGTTTACCTTTTAATTTTAGTCGATATCTTTGTTCATTTCATTGCATTTAATCATGATTAACATTGAAAGATGCCACTTTTAACCTTTCAGATATCATTTGCTTGTATAATGAAAGTAGTTACGTTTATATTTTTGCTACACAACTCTCTGGACAAACTTATCACAACACAAAAACTGAGGACTAATGCAAAATCCATCTTAAAATAACTCATGGGGTTCAATGTAAAGGTCCTTTACCTGACCTGGGTTGGGGGGAGTCCTTTGAAATAAATCAGTCTGTGTGTAATGAATTAATATAATACACAAGTTTTACTTTTTCAATGGAATTACTGAAATAAATCAACTTTTTCATGATATTCTAATTTTATGACCAGCACCTGTACAGTAACCATTCTGCTATAATAAACTAACTGAATAAGTTTTAAACTGACGTTAATTATAAGTATATATATTTGGTCATGAAAAAAGTTTAGATTATCTTAAAAGGAATTTATGCAATTTGGTTCAAAAGAGCGACTATCAGCTTATAAAGTACTTCTATGATTTCATTGTCTTTATCATAAAACATTGTTGTTTCTGATTATTGTGAATTTAGAAGGTCTGAGTTTCTGCACATTTAAACAAACTGACCCAACGCCCAAAGCACTTTATTTTAAAGATTAGAGACGATCAGAACAGTTTGAACCTTTTATTGTGGTCATTACTGTAGAAAAAGGAGCAAAATCTACTTAAGCGCCTTTATTGAACATATAAATTATGACGTTAACTGCTGGTTCTGTGTTTTCCTGATAAACAGAACGTTTTAGAGCAACATGTGACGTAAAGCCTCGGAGAAAGGAAAGTTCAACTTACAGGAAGTGAGCAGCAGAAATGCCTCGAGTTTCAAAATAAAAATGCAGGAAGTTTAATTTCAATCAATAATTTTACAAAACGTATAACCCGGGGTTTTAATCAGTGCTCCAAGACATTATGATGCAACAAGTTAAAGACACAAAAAAATATACAAATGTTTACTGGAATTAGAATAAACATAGTTAAATACTGGTGCAGCGCTCTAAGGCATATTTTATTTAATAATACAAAAAACTATCTAGACCTCTTGTACAAAGCAGGAATGAAGCTATACAATGTCACATTATATTTTATTCCTTATAAACTGTACAAAATCCTTTCCTTCAGGCTGGCCAGGCCAGCCTAATATCTATGCAGAGTACAACCTTTTTATTATCCTACATTTGTTGTTTCAAAGGAAAAAAAAAAACAGTATTTACATATTCAAACATGAAAAACATAAATAGAAGAATTTTCTATCCATCTTCGTGGCACTGCAGCTTTTTAGACACACTTCTATTGAATTCACCAAATATTGGCCGCCTCAGCTTTGCACCGTCACATTTGTATAGCACTTACAGAGAACGCTGTTCAAAGTGCTTTAAAAAGAAATCAAACTGAACTTTGGCTTTTTGGTCAAATCTCTGCCGTGTGCAAAGTGTTTGCAGGGCAGCATTATGCATCAAGGTTGAGCCATTAAATCACAGATGACATCAAGTCCATTTAAAGCAAAAGCGTTAACGATGATTCTGTTTCATTCAACAAAAAGAGCTCCCATAGCACGAGCGGTTGATAAACGTCAGCACATTAAAATGAGTTTGGACAGAGTGATTTTGGGAAATAAACTGATGCCTAACTTGTGAAACTGAGCAACTTGTGCAAAAACTGCACAGACGGACACGGAAACACCACAAGAGTTAAGTGTTAAAGCTCTGACGCAGCGGACTTAAAAATAATAAGTGACAGCTTCAACATTATTTGACATGATTGTCAGGTCAGGCCAAATAATTAAAAACTCAGTCGTATATACAGCAAGGCATAGGGTATAAATGTTCATATCAAAACTTTACAGTGAGTAAAGCAGAATAAATGTGGAGCTTTGGGATTTTATTCATCCTGTTAATTCAAAACAAACATCAACGAGGAGCTGATGTTGTTTAGTGCATATAGTCTTATATTTGACCTTGTGAACGAAGCTTTGTTAAAACCAGTGAAAGAACAAGAAGTCTTCTAACGTCCACAGAGAAAGAAAGATGGAGCACAGTGATGTCTCAGTACCAAGAATATTCAGATCTGGTGTCACAGATCTGAGCGTACCTGTAGAGGAGCGGGAGCTTGAGTAGTTTCATTACATTATATATATATATATATATATATATATGTATATCTATATAGATATATATAT